CATGGAACACTGCATCAAAAACTAATGATGTAATGTATGGTGGTTAACATAACAATAAAAAAATTATTTAAAAAAAAAAAATAAAACTAATATAGCTAAAAAAAAAAAAACACCTTCAATGGTATGCTAATTGGGGAATGAATTTTCAATTAATATAAGCTGTAACCGAGCAAATTTGAGAATGTGGAAAGTTTACTTCTGAATAGTGTAATCATGAGAATTCTGTGAGAATTCTGTCCTAAACCCACCATGCCGTGTCCCCACCATGGCCCACCATGTTGAATTGATCATTCATTCATTTCAGCTTAACCAGAGAAACACTTTCAGATTCTGTTCAGGTGGCAGACCCTTGATTCATCTATTCTTTGATTCTCCAACCATGTAAATGATACATTTTCCAAAAGATGATTGTCTTTAAGCTAAATGCCAGATTATAACCAAACTAATTGTATTGAGTCTTAACCATTTCTCAGATTACCCAATGAGCAAAGAATTTTATGGGCCCTCCTTTGTCAAAATGACTAGACAAACTATTTATTAATATCTCGTTTCATACGTTGTGTTCATTTGAACACTTTTCCCCTTGTTTGCTATTAAATAATAGAGGATAAGACTTGCCGATTGAGTGGACATTCTTTGTGTAACAGTGGTGTTACTCAGGATTAAAACATGGCTTTCCAAGCATCTCCGTGCTTTCATAACCATCTTGTCACCTTCCATTCCATCACAAAAATGCATTTGCAACCTTCCTACTTCTCTATTTCTTTTTGCATGTTGTTCTCCTTGCTCTCTAGAAACTGATGGTGGCTATTTCATTGGGGGCAAAATTCCTTTTTTTATTAAAAATGGGAATCTGAGCACTGCAATGACGTAATTATGGAATAGAAAGTGCTGAAGGAAATGCAGAATCTGCAGTCCCACTTTGTACCAGCTTCAAAGTATTTTGCCAGGTGGTTAATGACAAAGGCAAAAAAAAGACTGTGATTTCTTTGTCATGACACGGAATTCTAATATAGAGGTGGCTAGAGTGAGAGGCAAGGCAGGGTCAGGATGGTGGGTCGTTTCCCGAGAATGCCATCAAAGTCATTACGGTTTACTCCACCCCACGGAGACGACGCAGAGAGAGAAATTTCGAGGGGTCAGCAGACCCAATTCTGACAGTGACTATTCTCAGATGCTACTCATTGTATCAAGTTCAGACATTTAAAAAAAAAAAAAAGCTTCTTAAACCACTTGCACTAGTGGGACCTGCTTTTAGTCCTCAGTGTTCTAGATAGTTGTATGAGTTCAAGGAGAAACCTTTACTGATTTAGCATGTTTCAAATAGGCTACACACAGGATGGAATATTTTCAGCAAAACAAGTGACCATCCTGAATATCTGTCCCCATTTCTCAATGCATAGAAATGCCTCAGTCAGACTCATCCATTGTGAAGCAATCCCTCTGTCATTTTGCTATATCCTCTCAAATTCAGCTCTTTACCAAGCAGACTACCCTTGCAGGTGGTTCTTCAACTAAAACTTTTCATTAGCATGTTGAAAGTACAACGTAATTGTTAAAACTTTGGAATCCCATGTCAACTTCAAAAATAAAATTCGATCTAGTCTCTAGCATCTGCTTACTTTAAATATATTAATAGTGATTCGAATTGGCTTTTTGTAATTTGAGACACACCACAAACAATGCTCTAAATATCTTTGGTGAAATTCAATTATTAATGCCCATGGCCTGTGATATTAACAAGTACCGTCTTTAGCATGTCCATGACTTAACATGAAGTCACTGGTAATCAGGTTACTTTCCTGGCGACTATGCGATGAGATAAATTTTAGTGGACACACGAGAGAGGAAGAGGCAGAGAGAACAAAGGGTGGCCTAGATTCTGTGTGCAGGTCATTGTCTTTGGAGACTGGCTTGGG